GTTCATTTGAGGGTCATGACCTGTCTAGGAGCTACAAGTATCAGAGACAAGGTCTAGCGCCTGGGAAAGTTGGCTGGCAAGAGGTAAGCAAGGTATGTCTGTCAGCTCTGGCCAGGTAGCTCAACTGGTTAGAGCATCATCCTGATTTGTCACTGGTAGCAGGTTCAATCTCTGTTCAGGGTAAGGGCACAAACAACAATCAATTAATAAATATATAAATAAGTGGAATAACAAGTTGATGTTTATCTCTCTCCCTTCCCCCTCTCTAAAATGAATACATAAAAATTTTTAAAAAGAGTATATGTAAATTACCTAAAAAGTCTATTTAAATACTACTACTTTTTCCAATCACATAACTGTATGACTAGATTTTCTTCATGCACTTTAACCAGAATAAGCCACAACAAATTGAATACAGAAGAGAATCCAGTTGTTTTTATTAAAAGACATTAAATAAATTTGCAAAAATGTTAAATAATGTCACTCTTCTCAATAATACATTTTTGTTTTGGAAAATTTAGCTATCTTTCATAAAAAATGTTAATTCTCTTATTATTTTTAATGAATTAATAAATTAATTTTAGCCCTGACTGGTGTGGCTCAGTTGGTTGGACATCATCCCACAAAACAAATTTACTGGGTCAATATCAGTCAGGGCACATGGCTGGTTTGGGGTTTAGTCCCCACTCATGGGGGCATATAGGAGGCAACCAATAGATGTTTCTCTTTCACATTGATATTTCTCTCTCTCTTTCTCCCTCCTTTCTCCTCTATCTAAAAATAAATAAATGAAATCTTTTTTTTTTAAGATTTTATTTATTTATTTTTTAGAGAGGGAAGGGAGGGAGATAGAGAGAGAGAGAGAAGCATCAGTGTGCGGTTGCTGGGGGTTATGGCCTGCAACCTAGGCATGTGCCCTGGCTGGGAATCAAACCTGCGACACTTTGGTTCGCAGCCTGCGCTCAATCCACTGAACTATGCCAGCCACGGCTTTTTAAAAAGATTTTATTTATTGAAATCTTTTGAAAAAAATTACTTTTAAGCCCTGGTTGGTGTGGCTCAGTGGATCAAGTGCCAGACTGCAAGCCAAAGGGTAACTGGTTCAATTCCCAGTCAGGGCACATGCTTAAGTTGCGGGCCAGGTCCTCAGTAGAGGGTGTGGGAGAAGCAACCACACATTGATGTTTCTCTCCCTCTCTGTCTCATTCCCTTTCCCTCTGTCTAAAAAGAAATAAAATCTTAAAAAATAACTACAAGATTTATTACTGTAGGGAAAAGGCAGTCAGTCAGGCTCCCTCACCTGGATATCCTGGGAACTGGGACTTAGCGGTGTTTCTATAACTGTTTAAGGGTCCACTTGCACAGAATCAAGGTCTGTTGTATAAGCAGTGATAGTCTATGTTGGTGCCCTGCTGGTTTTATGTGCGCTTAGTATATAATGGAGTCGGGACTTTCCGCAGTGTGACTCGAGGATTGTTTCATGTGTGGATCGCCCCACCCCGGAATAAAGGCATGTCAGACATAAAAAAAAAGTTAATTAATTAACTTTAGTAGCCTTAATTTCTAACTTTGTACATATTGGTAGGTATAACTCATACCAACAAAAGCATTTTTTGGTTCTCAATAATATTTCAATATATATAGAGGTTCTGAGACCAATACTTTGTGAACCACTGCTCTAACAATTCTTAAAAATCTACTTCCTTCTTTTACCTTGTTAAAGAGAAAGTCACAGGCCCAAAACAGCATCACTTGTGCTAAAGGCCATGATCTAATTGTAATTTTGACCTTCACCAGAAATGTAATTATAATCAACCAGTCTGAACTTTTCAGGTGGACACCAGTATCAAGCTTGTTCTTTATTCTCCATAAGAAAGAGAGGCAACTTCCGGCCAAGATGGAGGCATAGGTGGACGCACCATACCTCCATGCACAACCAAAATAGGGACAACAACAATTTAGAAACAGAGTAACATCCAGAAATGACAGAAAATTGATCTGAATGGAAGTCAGACAACCAAGAAGTTGAATTAGGCCCATGCATCCTGACTGGTAGGAGGGGCGGAGACGTGCAGCCAGGTGTGGGTCACCTTGCGGAGAGCAGAGAGTGGTAGGACCGGGCGCGAAAGGCATTGTGAAGGGAGTTGGAATATTAAAAGAGGTTCAGCTTATCATCCATAGCAGTACGTAAAATCCTCTTTTTTTTCTCTTTTTCCCAAAGTTGCTCCAAAGCTGTTCTCCAAAACTTCTCAAATCCTTCCTCATCCCTGCCTACAGGACCAGTGGTTTATTTCTACCTTCTTTCTCTCCTTTTGACACACATTTTTTAGTTATTATTTTACATTTTGTGTTCTCTTTAATTTACCCTTAGCCTGCATTCTCTATATCCAAGAAGACCCTGCAAGCCAACAGCCTACCCCTGGGATCCTTATTAAACTGAATTTATTAAATTTCTTAATTGAAACTGATGCAGGTGATCAAAAACATTAGTTTGGGATTTCTACTAATGACCTAAAAGCTAACCATCCTTATTAGCTATGATACTAACCAATTGTTTTAAAATTGTTTTAGTCTCTCCATTTTCAAAACTGAAAAGATAAATCTGACCAATCTGTTGCTTGGAGTGAGGTCAAGTTGAACATAATTATTGCTGGCATTTATCCCATAAGATAGATACCACTATATTGAATAAAAAGAACTGCTTATTTTATGAACAAGTGGTTAAGGTAACAACATACAAATAACAAGCTAAAACCAAAATAACTGAGGAATGGAAAAAGGACCAGGAAAAGAAAGGGTAACCATTATATAGGTAAGCCAGAATCATTTCTCCCTACTGAAAAGGTTTTTCAGTCCTAATCCTTAATGTCCTCATACTGCAGAGAGCTGTCACAGAGTGCACCTCCTTATGTGGCAAATGTTTCTCTGGTCTGTGGACCCACCCTGCCTACTTGGGTGTGTCAAGCCTGATAACTTCTGAGGGAGAAAAATAAGCCAATGTTTTTTGACAACATAATGAACTAGCCCTAACAGAAATGTAACCCACTAATATTAATTATTAAATTCTTCTAGAAAAAATCTATCTTAAAGAAAAATATAAAATATAAAAATTATAGTTCTGGCTAGGGAGGTCAGTTGGTTGGAGCATCATCCTGTGCATCAAAAAGTTGTGGGTTGGATTTATGGTCAGGACACATACCGAGGTTTCAGGTTTGATCCCAGACTGGGGTGAGTGCAGGAGGCAAATGATCAATGTTTCTCTCCCTCCTACCCACCATCTTTCTAAAATCAATAAACATATCCTCAGTGAGGGTTAAAAAAGAATTTTAAATATAAAATATATATATATATATTTTAAATCTTACTAAAAAAAAACAGCTCTCGCAGGTGTGGCTCAGTGGATTGAGTGCCGGTCTGCAAACCAACAGGTCTCAAGTTCGATTCCCAATCAGGGCACATACCTGGGTTGAGGGCCAGGTTCCTAGTAGGGAACCTGTAAGAGGCAACGCATTGATGTCATCTCCCACATATCGATATTTCTCTCCCTCTTTCTCCGCCCTTCCTCTCTTTCTAAAATTAAATAAATAAAATCTTTTAAAAAGTAAACAAAACATTTAGGCTAGTGATTATTTCCATAGGGGTGGAAGAGAGCAGATGTGATGGAAGAGAAGCACACAAGCAGGCTTTTAAGTTACAGGCAATGCTTTATTTCTTAAATTGGAAGTGGTTACTTGGCTATTCATTTTATTATTAATCTTACAGCTGCTCATATAGGCTTACACATATGTTTTGTATTTGATATAAACCACTTTAAGTTTAAAAGAATTTTATACATAAAAAGCTATATTTCAAGTTATATTTATTTCAGTGTTATTTATAACAACAACAGCATGAAATAGAAACAGCTCATTTGTTGGAATGGTTAAAGTGAACATTGGTTCAACTATATGCTAAATGTAATGTTACTTAGTTATTTTAAAGGTGGTTACATAGCACTGTGGGGAAAAAAGCTTATAAGAAGTAACTGAAAATCATATGACAGAATTTTTTGTGTGATTACAACCAGGTAAAACAGTTCAGGGAACAAGAATGTATGCTATTATGATACGGTGATTGGTTGGTTGTTGGCAAAAGGATTATGAGTATTTTCACCCTTGCTTTGTTTTTCTAATTTTCTTTAGTGTGGTTATTTTTTTAAAATTATTTATTGACTTGAGAGAGAGAGAGGAAAAAAGAAAGAGAGAGAGAGAGAAACATTTTGTTATTCTATTTAATTTATGCATTCATTGGTTGTCTCTGGTATGTGCCTTGACTGGAGATCAAATCTACAAACTTGGTTTATCAGGACAAAATTCTAACCAACTGAGTTACCCAGCCAGGGCCTGTATTTTTAATAATTAAACTTTTTATTACAAAAAGAAAAAAGGTTTTTCTGAGAAAGCATTTTCTTTTTGTTCCACCATAATTTAACATGCCAGAAATTGTATTGGCTTCTAAGGTTTCATGTAGGGGAAAGCTTTCAAGGAAAACAATAAAAAGTCAGAAAACAACATTTTTCCTGCAGATGTTTCTCAGTAGCCCCTCAGCCTCTGCACCTGGGAGAACAAATGCCTTAGCTTATGCTAAGATTCATCTGTGTGCCAAGAGTTGAATTTCCCCCACTTTTTGTTTCTGGCATTGGCCAGCCTATCTTTCCATCAACAACAAACTCCTGTATCTTGGTTACACACACTTCACCACAAGAAGCTGACTAATCCTGGCCGGCTTATTAGGCAACCTTTCACACAGTGCCCATTGCTACCCATTGCATAATATATTTGATTGAGAATGTAAACGTCATGGTTTACATTTGACTCCAGTCACCATGCCAGTGCCAGCAGCTTCAGTGTGTAAACATCTCCCACTGACTTTACAAAGACACTGAGAGCATTTTCCAGGCTTTTCAATGTTGTGTAACATGGGGAGGTAGCACACCTATAAGAAAGAATCAGAAGCAGATGGGGATAGTAATCACTTCCTGCTTTATTTCTGAAAGAAATGAAAAGGTGGACACTTATGGGTTGTAGCTACAAATAAACATGGTTACGATTTAGCATTTAAGAACTAGAACAAATTAATTAACATTAAAAAAACACTATTTTTATATTTTTAATATTTTATTGATTGTTATTATAGTTGTCCCATTTTCCCCCCATCACTCCCCTATTTCTTTAAGTGAAAGAAACTTTATTAATGAAGCAGTGTGACAGAGTGTGGCTACTCCATAGACAGAGCAGCCATGAATTAATATTTTTTTAAAGATTTTATGTATTTATTTTTAGGGAGAGGGTAAGAGAGGGAGAATGCAAGGGAGAGAAACATCAGTGTGTGGTTGCCTCTCACATGTCCTCTACTGGGGACCTGGCCTACAACCCAAGCATGTGCCTTGACTGGGAATCAAACCAGCGAACCTTTGGTTCGTAGGCCAGTGCTCAATCCACGGAGCCACACCAGCCAGGGCATGAATTAACATTTTTAATATGTTTCTATCAATCCATCAATAAGAAATAAGGAAATCTTTGAGGGCATGAACATTTTTTTCAGTGGTTAAAATAGGTCAAATGGGGAAAAACGATTGTCCCATTATTAAAAGTTGTTATAATTTCATTAATATCACAATACAGAATGTGTTTGGCAAAAGAAAAAGCTACGAAAAAAAGGTTCTATGAATTGTTTCTTGAAACTGCAAGCTTCCTCTTTGAAAGTAGATAAATAAATAAATAAACCAGCCATACCCAGGTTAGGGAGAAAGAAGAAAATGCTGAAGGAGAGGAGAGTAAGAATTTTAATTGTGATTTGTTCTGAGAGTAAATATTACCTTACCTACGTCATTAAATCTGTGAGAATATGTAGCATATGTAATTCGGTTTATGTGCTGATGCTAGATCAGTTATTTTTAGAGTCTTTCATCTCCCAGGTACACAGTGGGACAGTAAGGCTAATATAAATGTTTTGTTTGCTAATAAGATTGCAGATAAATAATGAAAGGACATAGGTTTCTTTAGCTAAAGAAAACAAGAATACCCACCTAAAGCTTTTTTTTAGTGTGTAAGAAGAGCAAAATATCTTTTAATTTTACTTGGTTACAAAGAGTGTAAGAGAGTAAGGCAAAAGCTAGTAGGATCATATGGAAAGTTATGCAATTATTAGCAGAATGGTAGTCCACTCAATCTTAAGATTGAGGACAAAATAAGCTTCTTAGAATGAATACCTTCATATAAGTTTGAATCATACCAATGCCTACTAACTAGATCATCTACTTTGACTTCTTTTTCATTAATATTCAGAAATTACTGTGGTCACAAACTCATCAACCAATAAAACTCTAGTGTAGAAGTTACTTCCAATGTGGACTTGTTTCCAACAAGAGCAAAAAGCTGAAACTCACTTTCTGTTTAATGAATCACCAACATCTACCTTATTGTTCTAGGTATCCCTGATAAAATTCAATCCTTAAATTAAACATCTATGAGCCCTGGCTGGCGTAACTCAGTGGATTGAGCGCAGGCTGCGAACCAGGCATTGCAGGTTCGATTCCCAGCCAGAGCACATGCCTGGGTTGCGGGCCACGGCCCCCAGCAACAGCACATTGATGTTTCTCTCTTTCGCCCTCCCTTCCCTCTCTAAAAATAAATAAAATCTTAAAACAAATAAATAAATAAAAAGAGCAAAGTAACTGCTTTATTAAAAAAAATTAAACGTCTATGATGAAGAGTTTTATACCTGGCCCATAGGTGTAGAGAAATTATTTTTCACCTCATTTTACCACAGTTATTATTATTTGTTATTAGTGGGGTCAGGAAAAATGGCCAAAATAGATTTTATGTGTCACTAGGTTGCATACTCTAATGATGGTGATTCTGGTACTTTAAACTAAGACCTGGCTTGTTCAAAATCACTTCCAAGGTAAAAATGATGATTTTCTTACCTAAAAACAAAACAAAAATACTGATAGGAAGGGTAGAACTTATACCCAAGGAAACAAGAGACAAAAACAACTTAGTAAATCTATTCTGAAAACTCAGGTATTCCTTCCCCTGCTACAAAATCATTTCAAATAGCTGGCTGACTCCGGTATTCCTAATCCGTATTTCTATGCTTATCTATGACTAGATTTTTAAAATAAATTTCCCTGAGGAATAGGTACTTATGATATTGTTGGGAGTGTTCATGAGATTATTCTTTTAGTTATATTTTCTTCATAGACATGTACCTAGAAAGCAATGTGCAACTTGAAGAATTTTTTTTGAAAAGCATATTGCAAGTGGTGATAGATGATCTGAAGGAGCTTTTATAATTTCTCATTTATTCTTAATCATTTTCTTTTCATTGTTGCAAAACTCATCTATAGTGTCATAAAGGTTTTGACCTAATTTCTGGACATCAGCTGCTAGGCTAGAATTACAAGGGAACTTCTCTCGTCTATGGTAGGACCTACACTTGAGAGAGTGGTATTTGAAATTAGGGATCAAATACTGCCAGATGGTATTCTCTCCACTTTTGAGTTAAGAAAATTCAAGCCCAGATAGTGACTAAACAGCTTAATCCAGATTATAAAATCAGTCAATGGACTGAAAGACATTAGTGGATGCTGGGACTTTTGATTCCAAGCTCAGTCTTTCCACTTAATGACATTACTTTAGATAATTACAGTGCAAAAAATGTTGAAAAGGGGAGAAATAGGAGGGAAACAGAAGATGTAAACTGAGTATTTTGAAAAATTTTAATAGTAGCCTAAAATAAGATAATATGAGGTAAAGCACTGGTAAAATTATATACACGTGAGATAGTATAAATGTTTTTTTGTTCATAACACTTTTATTCCTGTGTCTGACTTAAGAGCCAACTGCACAAAGCACTGAGTATAAAACTGAGTTGATGGATATACAGTGTATAAAGATGTGATTTATGTGCCAATAATAGCACGAAGAAGGGGGAAGAAAATAGAGCTGTATTGGAGTAAAACTTTTGTATACAACTGAAATTCTGTTGATATTAATCAAAATTTTATTTTTTTTAAGTTATGACATTAATTGTAATCCCTAGGATAAGCACTAAAAACTCAAAAACATATAGAAAAAGAGCCCTGGCTGGGGTGGCTCCAGTCAGGAAGATTGAGCGCTGGCCTGTGAACTGGAAGGTTGCAGGTTTCATTCCCAGGACAGGTCCCCAGTTGGGGGTGTGTGAGAGGCAACAAATTGATGTTTTTCTTGGACCTGTTTCTCTCCCTCTCTTTTTCTCTCCCTTCCCCTCTCTCTAAAAATAAATAAATAAAATCTTTAAAAAATATATAGAAAGAGAAATGACAAAGGACTTAAAGGATATAACAGAAAATAACTATTTAACACAAAAGAAAAAAGTAATATAGAATTAGAAGAACAAAATAGACATAAGACACACAGAAAACAAATAGAAAAATGGTAGATAAAAATTAATACTTACATTAATTGTAAATTGACTAAACACTCCAATCAAAAGTCAAAAGTTTGCAGAATGGGTAAACAAAAGTGATCCAACTATATGCCATCTACAAAAGACAAACTGAAAAAAAGGAAAACATATAACATAAAGAAGTATCCAAAAGAGAGCTGGAGTAATTATACTAGTATTAGACAAAATAGATTTTAAGACAAAAATTGTTTCTAGAGCCAAAAAAGAATATATTTTAAAGATAAAAGGGTCATTTCATAGAGAGAGAGGAAGAGAGGCAAACATCAGTGTGTTAGTTATTTATGCATTCATTGGTTGATTCTTTAAAATTTTTTTTATTTTATTTTTTATTATTTTTAATTCTCACCAGAGTACATGCTTAGAGAGAAGGGAAGGGAAGGGAAGGGAGGGAGGGAGGGAGAGAGAGAGAAGCATTGATGTGAGAATCAGCTACCTCTGTTATGCACATCGATGGGGAACTGAACCTGCAAGTTATATGACAATGCTCCAAACAGCTGAGCCACACTGGCCAGGGTGATTTTGTTCCTGTCTTTTAATGCTCTTGTTCTGGGATCTCATATGTGAATTTAAAATGTTATAATAATAAAATCACAAAGTCACAGCATTTAAAAAAAAAACAAGTGTCTTCATTTTTTAAAGATATTTATTTATTTATTTTTAGAGAGAGGGAAAGGAAGGGCAAAAGAGAGGGAGAGAGAACAACAATGTGTGAGAGACTTGAAAGAGACATCAAGATTCATTGTCTCTCCCATGCCCCCAACTTCGGACCTGGCTGGAAACCCAGGCATGTGTTCTGTCTGGGGAATCCAACTGGCTCGCTCAAACCACTGAGCAACACCAGTCAGGGCCACACCATTTAAAAAAAATAATAGTAAGATTTCTTTGAAGCACATTATGGTAATTAATTTTGGTGGTAAGAAGTAGGGATGGAGATGTTGGGGGAACAAAGGAAAATATACCTTAAAAAGTTAGTGAAGAGTAGTCTCTTTCTATTTTCTGTTAAGAGTATCATCATTTTGCTAGCTTCTCCCTGTAGGTTAAAAAATAAATTGAAGTTAATCATTTAAATTCCAATATATTTGTTAAAGTATTTTTAAGATTTATTTCTTCTCCATTCTTTTTCTTTTTATTCTTTTTTATGGAACATTCATGAATTTGTGTATCATTGGTGAGCAGGGGGCATGCTAATCTTTACTGCACCGTTCTAATTTTAGTTTATTGTTTTTTAGTGTATGTGCTGTTGAAGCGGGCACTCCTCTCCATTCTTATTGCCAATACCTAGGCCCTTCCTTTCTGCACCACTGGAGGATTTCAGCAACCTTCCAGCTAATCTCCTTGTAGGTAGCTCCTTTTAGCTATTCTGGACACACTTGCCTTATAAGTCAATCTTTCTAAGACTCTAATTTTTCCAGTCAATGTTCTACTTCAGAATTTCTTAGTTACGTTAGCCTAAATTTTGCCTGTCCCCACATTCAAGGGCCTGCATACTTTATCCCTGATCCTCTCCTTCTCTTCGCTGAGTTCTTTGCTTAAGGCACAGGTCCACTTTCATTTACTTCAGAACATATCAAGCTTTGCTTGTAATCTTTTCCTTCCCTTGCTGTGTCCACTTTCTACCCCATCTTCAAGGTCCAGAAGGAATGCCACTTCCTTCCTGAAGATTTTCCTGGCAGCTCCAAGTCACATTCATAGTTCGCAACTAATTATTCTAATGTTCTGAAGTTGCAACAAGATGGTGGAATCCTCTACCCTTTTCTCTTGATTTGTTAACAGGAGACCTAGGGGCCATTACCTGAGACAGGGTCACATGTGCTTAAACATACCTGAAATAAAAATTTGTAATTTCCAAAATGCTAGTTCTTCAACTGTATGAAGCAGCTTCTCTGATTTCTTAATGAAACATGTCTCAAATACAATCTTGTAATTTCACTTTTGTTTAGAAGATGAAAACGTACAGTGGGAGTGTCTGGGGCATAGATTTATCTCACAAACCGAGGGATTGATTTCTTAAAGAAAAAGTGACATTCACATTTCCAATTAATTACATCCTAAATATTTCCAACTACATCCTATAAGCAATATTTCATTTCCAATGCATGTAAAAGAAAACGTTTAAGGAAATAAGCACGGACATACTTGAGACCACCACCCGCAGGAAAGACTCAAAGGCACACTTTTGGTGCTACTGCTTATTGGAACGCCATTGGGCCTGAATTTATGCTTTTTGGAGCCTCAATTCTCAAATCTGTATAATAGAGATAATACTCGTATTTACTTTGCAGGGTTGTGGTCCAAGATTTTCTTTCTGGTTGTTCTGACGGGTGGCTTGTCTTCAGGGACCGGAGAGAGACACCTTTCCTCCAGCGACGCACTTCCTTGCACGAGAAGGAACGACCAGCGGGGAGGAGCGGAGGCTCGTGGGTCGCCGGGGTGGGATACTCGACAAACACAGGTTGGGCCTCAGCTTTAAAGCGCAGCATGGAGCCCTCAGCAGGAGCACGCTAATGTCTGTATAACCAGCTGGGCTTGCGTGCACCCGCGTGCGAGGTTTAGGCAGCGCGCTCGCAGTGACAGCAAAGCGTAAGGCGTGAGGACGTACTACAGAAAAGCGACAGCCGACGGGGCCAAGGGTGTGTGAGCCCCGGGAGGCCTGAGAGCCCTGGTCGCGCAGGCGACCCGGCACTGCTGGCCGACGAGTCTCCGCAGCGCCCCACGTGGCGGACAGCCGGGTGGCTGCCCCCAGAGCCCATTTGCTCCGCCCCTGCCGAGCTCGCCTGCCCTCCTCGGCCTCTCCGCCCAGCTCTCTCCCAACCCTCCTCCCTTCCCCGTCCAGGATCGCGATGGACGCGGCCTCCCCCCACCGCCGCCGGCAGCACCGCGCGGGCCTCTGAGTTGCGGGGCCTGAGGAGCCGCGTGCTCGAGACGGGAAGTGTGCTGGCTTTCGCTGGTCGAGGGAACCTCTCGTTTCACTGTCACCTGGACCCCGCAGAGGAAGGGGAGGGACGAAGCGCGGCTTTTCCTGTGTCGCCTGCCGGGCTCGACCTGCGAGGCCTGCGGCTTCCTAGGAACTCGAGGGCCGCGGCCGGGCCTGGCTCTGCCCGCGGCCTGCTTGGAGCTGGGCTGGAGCGGTTTGGGAAGACAAGACCGGGTAAGAGCTTGAGGGACGGAGAGGTAGGAGTGCTCTGGGCGGTCGGAAGGACCAGGCCTGGGGGCCGAGGTCTGGATGCGGGGCAACGGGCCGGGAGCGAGACTCCGGCCGCCGGTGAGGTCGGCGGGGATGCTGCCGACTCACCCCCTTTGTTTTCCTCCCGCGGCGGGGCCTGGCTGCCCAATCTAGAGCTCAAGGCGGCCTCCCCACCCTTGCCCTTCAGAGGGTTCGCTGCCCGGCCGAGCCAGGAACGATTCGCCGGGCCTCGAGAGTTCCGGGCGCTGTTCCCTGGAGACCCGCCGCCCAGTCCGGCGGCCTCCTCTCGGGCACGGGGGCTTGCTGCTTCTCCTCCAGGACTTCCCCCTCCTCCTGGTCACCCGAAGCTAACTTACGGAGGTTTGGTGCCTGGAAACAAGCCGGTGCCTGCGCCTCCCTGCTCGGAGCTCTGCAGGGCCCGAGTGTTGGGTCATTCCCTCTGGTTTCCGCCGTTGAGTGCTTACCGGGGCCCGCTTCTGGATTCACACACCTGCAGCTGGGTTTCGTGGGACCCAGAGCTCTTTTCCCATCAGGGCGTTTACAAGCTTTGGTAATGACTTGCCCGTTGGAGCTGGTTCTTAGTTGTGTGTATTTTTAACTAACTGCTCCATTCTGTGAGGATGGGTAAAGAGAGGGCCTTTAGATTGGCCTGTATTCTGAATTCTGATCCGTGAGGTTTTAGTCCATTACATTTACTTTTGGCATTTCTTTTTAAACTCTCGAGAACGGTTGACAAGATTATCAACATTCCTTACCAAGTCTTTATTCATAGACGGATCTTGCATTTAATTATCATTTGTATTTAGACATCTTAAAAATAACAGTGAATAAATTGAGAAGCCAACAAAAATTGTGAATTTAAAGGTAATTTTAAAGGAGAAACCTAATTTGGAGGGGATTGGATCAAACTGCTGAGAGTCTGAATCCAACCCTTATTTGAAGATCAGGTTTGGGTGGAGGAGGGGGAAGAAGTTTTCTGGAAAAAAAAAAAAAAGAACCTTTAGAAGGGTGTTCTTTGCTTTTTGGCAGAGACGTTAGTGATAGCAATAGTGGAATCTGAAGGTTGTTTCACTGTCTTTGACAAAGAGCTCCGGTTTCTAGTTAGCAGCAACCTAATCAGCTTACACTCTTGTGAAAAACTGGTTTTTATTTAGTATGATATGTGAACATTAAACTCGAGGAATAAGGACTGTTGAAAAACTGCATTAAGCCCTATACCCAGAAATATACTTACGAGTCTTTTTTAATTTGTAGGACACCACGAAAATTGGTTTCCAGCTTATGTGAAAAAAATTTAAACCCAAGCTGATCAGTCCTGGACATTTAAAGGAATTTTTTTCCCTTTACTTTTTTAAGCAAAGAGGCTTTTGAAAAAACATGGCAGATGTGGATCCAGATACATTGCTGGAATGGCTACAGATGGGACAGGGAGATGAAAGGGACATGCAACTAATAGCCCTTGAACAGCTATGCATGCTGCTTTTGATGTCTGACAACGTGGATCGTTGTTTTGAAACGTAAGTACACCACTTCATCATCTTCCTTTGGGATTACTGTAGTGACATCTGTTTTCAACCATTTGCTGACTTCAGTTTGTGTAGAATTTTCTTTAGAGCTCTTTGAACTATCTTTTAAAATGTTTCTGCAGTTTTGCCTTACACTTTGCTGTGAAGTTGAGTAATGATAATTGTGCTGACGCAAGTATGTGTTTGTTGAATTAACAGGGATTAGTAGGAATACAATTTTAACCCATGGCTTGGTTAATTCATTTTCAAAATATCTTATTAACTGGGAAAATACAGATACTTATCTTCAAATGTAGCTACTGTACCAAGAAATTGACTTGAAATTGATGTGAAAATATAGATGATACTGAACATATTTATAACTGCCCATTTTTTCATAGGTATTAAAGTCTTAATATCCTAATTTTGTATAGGAAGTCAGCTTGTAAATTTCACATTGGAGTGTGTGAATTGGATGCTACCCATATGACATACTTTTTGGAATAGTAGAAACAGATTTTGAAGTTTGGAGAGTTTAAACGATTTTATTCAGAGTTTAAAATGTAGAATTTGTGCAAAAATGTAAAAGAATTCATTACTAGATTAGCCATTAATGCCAGGTTTTTCCACTTATGTGATACTTGCCCAGTAACCATTCTTCTGAATGCTGAACACCCTTGTTTTTTACTGTTTATTTTATATGCTATTTACAATTTTGAATTCCAATAATAAGCAAATGAAAACTCAGATACTTGTATTAATACCATTTTGAGGTAGATAGTAGAATGTTTGAGATGTTGACATAAGATTTGGCATAATCTTAATTTCTTTGAGGTGGGAATAAAGGCTATATTACCCACTAAATTGATAAAATAGTTTTAATTGTCTTCATTTTTGAATGAGAAATTACTGAAGATGAATTAATAAATAAATAATAATTCTTAACTGTCAGTCTCATTAAAACAGTGAACTATTATAGTAAAAATCCTTACATACAAAATTTCTGAATCATAATCTGTTAATGGCTCATTAATTTCAACTAGCTTTTGTAGTAACAAAATTTGAGTATATCATGATTTAGTCCCTCCATTGATACTTGTTTTAGTAGGATTCATAGAGAAGTGACAGATTTTTGAGTAGTCATGAATTTCATTAGAGGGCCTCCATTAACTTGAGAATTACTTTTGGTATTTTAAAAAGTAAGTCATATTTGCCAATAAAATCCATTGTCATTTCATATCTCCAGTAAGTACTAAAATATAGTAGAGGTATTTGTAGTGGCATTAAATAAAAGTGTTACTATATTAAAAATTTTAAAGGAAATTTTTAAAATGTAAAACTCATCTTTACCTACCATCTTAATATCATTATTTACACTTTCCCTTGTAGGCTTTATTCATATTTGATGTGTTGTAATTTAAAAAAAGATTTCATTTACTTATTTTTAGAGAGAGGAGAAAGTAGAGAGAAAGGATGGGAGAGAAACATCAATGTGTGGTCGCCTCTGCATGCCATTTGCCAGGGACCCTGCCTGCAATCCAGGCATGTGCCCTGTCTGGGAATCAAACCTGCGACCCCTTGGTTTTCAGGCCGGTGATCAGTCCACTGAGCCATACCAGTCAGGGCTGATGTGATGTAATTTTTAAAAAGGGGATATTAAAGTCAGATGAGATTTATATTTTTATTTACTAAGATACAAGAGTATTCAAATTGGAATGTTCAACCCTGTTTCATGTAGCATACCAATAATTTGTCTATCAAAAAATAGACATTTGATTAAATTTTTGACTTTTTTCTAAGCTTTAGTTTGCTTTCTTTGTTCTCCAGTCATATGTGCTTATCTTCACAAGGAAAATTGTCTTGGGATTCCTTTAAACCAGAGCAGTAGCTTGGTGTGATGGAAAGAATGTGCTGTGGCATCAGACAGACCTGAGTTCAGATTTTTGGACACCTATGTAACTCAGCTTCTCAGAGCCTTACTTTCTACCTCTGAAATGAGAGTAATCTTATTTTTCGTAGGCTTCCTGTGAGAAGCAAAGGAAAAAATATATGTGAAAAGTGTTTCAAGAAAAGTGGACTATTAAATGTCGTCATTATTAAATGCCTAATTTAGAACTATGTTTTGGGACTTCATTCCATGAAACTATGATTGATTTTGTAGAGTCTTTTTAAATTCTTTGAAACACCCAACAAACATATCAGGGGAAAAACAAGATGATGTGTTTATTTTGAATTTTGGTGAAAATCTCCATACCAACTCGATTTCATAAGATAGTAGCAAATAGTCCTTAGTTATGTCAAGTAAAACAAAAGTTATCTAGTCAGTATGTTCAGATACGATTTTGCCTGATTAGCTTGTATTAATAGTTTTATGTCTTTTTAGTCAGGAAAGGCAAATGGTATGGTAGAAATTTCGTAACGGGATAGACTTGGGCACAGGTTTTTGTGGGCACAGGTTTTTGTGAAGATTCAGTGGGATAATACCTGTGAAATCCCCAGCACAGGTCTTTTCACATAATAATTAATTGTGTTTCTTTTCCTTTAACTTAGTATTATACATGGCTCTCCATTTTTTTGTACCAGTTTCCCTAGTCTTTTTTTTTTTTAATTGATGTTTGAGAGAGAGAGAGTGCGAAACATTGGTTTGTTTCACTTTTGTGTCCATTGGTTGGTTCTCCTGTGTGCCCTGACTGGGGATGTAACCCACAACCTCGGCGTGTTGGGACGATGCTGTAAATGACAAAGCTGCCTGAGCAGGACTTGCTAGTCTTTTTGAAGTTAAGACATACATTTTCTGTGAGGCTGAGATGCTTCGTATTAATGCCTGAACCTAAGGTAGTCCTCTAGAAAATAAAATTCAGGTTTGACATTAGTTTTGCTTTCATTTCTGATATGTCATTGAGTTAAATTTAATGTTAAAAATGAGTACTTTTAAAAAAAAATTCTCACCTGAAGAAATGTTCATTGATGAAAGAGAGAGAAACATCAATTGGTTGCCTCCTGCTTACACCCCAAACAGGGATCAAACCTGCAAACTTATGGTGTATGGGATGATGCTCCAAGCAACTGAGCCACCGGGCCAGGGCAAAAATGAGTACTTTTGCATTCACAGTAAAATAGATGATGATCATATATATTGTCATAAGTAGATAAACAAACCCTGGGCATTTGTGGATCCTGTTACTAAATATTCAGATAATATAATTTAAAGTATTTTCTTCTGGGAAAAATGTAACATCTCCCCTGATAATCTAGAAAATGGAGTATTAAGTATAGTGCTTTTAGGTACTAAAAGGCTTGCTATATTTAAGAAGTAATAATTTTACCTAATTACAAGAGCACAAAAGGATATACAGTGAAAAAGTCAGTCTCTCCCTTTCTTGTATGCTGGCTAATTAGTTCTCTCTAGAACCAACCACCATTAATCATTTTCTTAGTGTATATCCTTTGAGAGATACTCCAAGGAAGATTGTTTTCAATCTGGGTTCCAAAGTTGTTGAATCCAGTGATAAAAACCTCCTGTTGTATATTTACAGTAAAGGATAAATATACAACAGGACAAGGCTTTTTTACCTTTTTTAATTGTCTTCTTATTTCATATCAGACTAGAGATAGGGTGATGACCGAAACAGATACAGTCTCTTTCCTTATGGTGTACAGTAGTCTAATAGGGAAGACAGATATTAAGTAATGGTAAAATTGTGATTGTAAATTGTGATGAGTGCCATGAAGGAAAGTTTGGGGTTCTGTGACAGCATTTAGTAGGGACATGGCCTGGAGGGATGAGGATGGTTAGAATGGCTTTCTTTAGTAAGTGGTTTTTCCTACAGATGTGAAGGATAAGAGATTGTGAGAGGAAGTACGAAAAGGTAGAGTAGAAGAGTGTTCAAAGGGAAGGCAATGTATGAAGAGTTTGAGATGGGATTAAGCATGGCATGATTCAGGAACGTGAAGAAAGCTAATGTGCCTGGAACAAGGAAAAGTTGCTAGAGAGCTGAGTTGAGGTAGGGTCAAGATCAGATGGA